ATGCATTAGAATCAATGTGTTACCCGGATGGCAAGGTGGAGTTCTTATTCCGGGTTCTTGTTCTATGAAGTTTGAAGAATAAAAATCGTGGACTAGAAGATTTTAAGCAAAAGCGTGGACATTTATTGCAAGCCCTTACAAACTTCCACCTGGGGAAGGGTCCCAAATGGGTAACCAGTGAAGTCTCTTTGTCTAAGGGTTTATAAATGCTGGCAGCTTCTTGGTCTGTACGTGCTACTCTCTGATTGGATCCTTCCTCTTTTTATGTCCCCTCGTGTTTTTTCCTAATCCCCGCCTGGTATCAGTTTCAAAGTGTGAAAGCCTACCTGGCGCCCCACCCCCACCCCCACCCCCACCCGCCTCCTCCCATAACATTCCCCTGCTCTCCGTGTTTGTGAGAGAAGCATTCTGTTGCTTTGGAGCTGGCCTCGCCCCTTCAGGTACGCATTCCTTTCCCATGGACTCTACCCTAACTGCCTTTCTTATTTCTATATCCTCTCACATGTAAGATTCAAATTCCCCAGAAAATTGTAAACTTTTTACTTACAACTACTCATCTTTCCAGTTATTCAGGAATCACATGGCTCCTTTTAGTCTGTGTGATGGTGACTGAGCTAGAGGAAGAGCTAGTAGAGGAAATAATGTGCCAAATGATGGGTGAAGCCACACTATTTTCTCAAGTTACACATTCTCATGCACTAATCTTATGCTTTGCTGTTTAAAAGTTTTGTATGCGATTCAAAAACTGATTAATAGTGAAAAGATAGAGTTTACGTTCTTTTCCTTCATCAGCGTTGAAATGATAGAAGTTGTCTGAATCTCATTTTGTGAAATATTTGCAACAGTAGAGTTGCATACTTAACTTTCATTACTCCTGCCTGAAGAAATGGTTAGAATGTGATTTCCCATCTGTACTTTTATTCTAGCTAGTTAAATTTTAAGTCGCCATCTTGGTTTTAATTTTTTTAAATTTAAAATAATTTAGTAACCAGCTTTTTACAAAGCAGTTGAAACCTTCATTGACCCAACACAATGTATCTGAGCAACACAGTATTTTAAACTACAGAGTGACATAAGTTTGACCTTAGGTATAAGTACAAAACATATGCCAGAGTTCTTACATGGTTTGTTTTAATCTCTAAATTATTCTTCCTATATTAGAGCATAGTGTGTGAGAGGATTGTATTCACATCTTGTTATACAGCCTTTGATAAGTTAACCAAATAAACACACTGGGTGGGGATCAGTTGGTATTCATTTACTTTCAACTAATTAATAGTGAAAAATGAATTCTAAGGCCCAAGAAAATTAATTTCATGTTCATGCTTCTTTTAAAATAATTTGTTATTCTGTGGAAACCTTTTTAATCAAGGTAGTTTTTCACTAGCGTGACATAAAACTTTAAACTATGCATAGAATAAATCTCTACTCAACATATTCATTTTCCTTTTATTTCTAATCATGACAAATTTTGGAATGTATACTGAAGTTAAAAAGGTGAAGTTTTCTTCTGCAGAAGCCCCATCTGGCCTGTTTTGGATACTAATAACAGTCTAGGATTGGTTGGTATAGGCAAAGAAGCACTAACTTAGAGAGCTATTTACCCATCTCTGTTCCCTGTACGTCCTCCTAAACCATAGCAGAATGCCATGGGTGTAACTGATATTTGGAGGCAAAAAAAAAAAAAAGATAAAGAAAAGTCATAAAGTTAAATAGAGTAATCATGTTTTCCCTTGTGTGTGTTTTATTTTGTTCTGTTTTTTTAGGATCAGATTAATGATGTCAATTTCTATTAGGATAAAAGCATGAAAACATGAAATGATTATGTGAGCATGCCAATTTTGAACCTGAAAATAGTTTCTAATGCAGGGGTGAGGAACGTCCAGCCCATGGGCCCATATAGCACCAGCAAGATCATTTGGTCTGGCCCTGCCAAGGCATGAGGGGTGAGTTAATGAAATGTTTGACCAAATATAGCAGGCTAATTTTTTTAAGTTGATAATTTTGTATGGCCCATGAATGATGTTATAAATATCCAAATGGCCCTTGGCAGAATAAAGGTTCCCCACCCCTGTTTTAATGGAATGTATTTGACAAGCAACCCCTACTTTTATTGACTTAATGGGAGTATTGGTTTATGAATCCACAATTCCTAAGAAAATGATTTAAACAAATGTGGGACATGTGTACACAAATATATGAGTTGGCTCTGGTAGTGAAGAATGGTGTCTCTGAAAAAAATAAAATCCTAGGGGTTATAAATAGGTCAAAACGAATTAGATTTTTATTTATACTTCAGAAATGTAATCAAGTGAATGAAATGATTTCATATACATTTTTACATCCAAGAGCAGTGACACACTGTTCATACATTAATTCTGTAGGAAAATGTACATCCTTCTTTTTTGTTGTTGTTAGGTAAGATCTGCCAAGTGTTCATGGACAAAAAAAAAAACCACCTTTCATTGCAACCTGAACTAGTGAAATTACAAGGGGTCAGCCATGTTCTTTCAATAACTTTATGGCATTAATAAAGCCGTTGTCCAAATGCCTGCTAATATTGGCATGTGTAATATGAAGTCTCACAAATTCTCTAAAATGTGAATGTCCAATTTGAAAACTATGCAATAACCTAATGGATTTTGTGACTGAATCTACCCAGGGACATTAGAGTCCAGGACGGTTTATTTTAAGTGTACTTCTGTAGCTCTATTTCTAGCTGACTATTCTTCCATTGCCTAATCAGAAAGAAATGCATTCTTATGAAGTTAAGCAGCTGTAGGCACAGAATGCTGATGACATTCTCTCCATATCTGAGTTGCCTAAAGAAAACCTAGTTAGCGGTAATTCTACCAAATACTTGTAACATTCACATACATTTTTAATTGATTTTCGAACAGCACTACTGCGCCATGAATTTGACCACATAGAATATAAGCCTTAAGCCCACTAGGTTTAAGCAATTGTGTCTTTGTAGACTAAAACTATGTAAAATAAAATCTGATAACTCCCTGGTGTTAGAGGTAGACAGTTTTCTTTCAAATCCTAGGTTTGGTCTTTTATTTTATTCAGCAGTGAAAGCCATGAATACAGAACAAATAACACCTCTTACAATTCTCAACCATGACTTCTAACATCAGAGAATTCAAAGTATGAACATAGTACACAGTAATGAAAAGTATCAAAATTAGTTTACCTCAAAAAAGATAAATAAAACAGGTATATTCCACCAATACATAAACAGATGTTTGTGCTACAGTTAAAATTTGTTGTATACAAAAGATCATAGTCCCCGTAATCAGTTTGATAGAAGCAAGAATACATGAGCCATTTAAATTGTCAGACATTATGCTTTATAAGGTATGCACAGAAGTTCAAGCAATAAATACATACATTAGTTCAAAGCCTTACAATAGCTACGCAAAGCAGATGCAGAAAAGCAGATTTGCTATTACTAACAAGCAATGATATAAGTAAAAATTCATGAAATGCATTAAAGCAACATTTTTCTTAGAAAAAGTCTGGTCATTTATGGGTCCACCAACATTTTTACATAATATGCACAATTATCAAAATACAGACCAAGCATTTCAGAAAACTCCAAAAAACCTAAAATCTATTTTCAAAGCAATTGCAGTTTTGGAGGTTTTTCTGGTATAATGTGCAAGCAGCTATATTTTTTTTATTGTATTCATATAAAACCCATGCAAAACTCTACAGGTATATGCATTCTGTGGCTGAGACTTCCTTTCAAAAGTTTTGTAACTGAGGTATGCATACTTTAGCATTGTAGTCTTAGGCCACCCTTCTGATGGTAGAGCTCTCACAGTTACTTTCAGTCCATCAAAACCTTTGAACATGCACATGAAAGACCCATTTTCCCTTCAGATAATCCTGACACGATCCTAGATGACTGAAAAGCATCCTTCACAATACCACTCCTTCTCTGGAAACCGCATGGGAAACTTCCCGTTCGTTGATCATGACCCAAAGACAACATAATGAAAAGTAGCAGTTACTGTGACGTTCTCACATTTCATGCAATCTGCCATAATTGTTCTAATTTTTTTCTTTTTTGTCTTTTTTTTTCTTTTTCTTTTTTTTTCTTTTTGCAGAGGTAGAAGCTTTCAGAAAGCCATTTGGGTAAGTGGGAAAACCCTTTTGAAAGCCGTTATGTTCTTTTATTTGGTGTGATAGATGACTGGGTGTCTCTCTAACTCTATTTGCTGACTTCAGCAAAGAATAAATGATGAGCTTAGTTTGCAAGAACCAGCTCCCTAACATGGAACTGGAACATATGTTAAGCTCTAGCAGCCACCTTCTGTCAAAACTGTTTGTAAAGCAATAACCATAATCAGGTTATGAGGTCCCTTGGTTGGGGGAAAAAAGTATTATCAAGACTTGGCACAGCACATGAAAAGCAACATGTAAAGTTTCTAGGTTTTAAGCAAATATCTGACTATGTTATTTTCAATACACCATAATGCATCATCATAGTTTGGGGGTTTGGAGATGTCAAGAAAACCAGCATTCCAACAATTTGGCCTGTGCAAGTCTTTGAAAGGGAGAGTATTGTTAGTGTTAATATCCCGTATAAGCAGAGGCAGAATTATATGTAACTTTGGTTTGACTGAAAATAAATACCATGGACTACAATTGCTATAATCTTTGCTTTCAGTGTAAAAACTCAGCTAGATCCCTTTAAAATCAATATGAAATTAATTTTTGGCTTTACTAGACCTTTAATGTTTGGTTCCTATTTTTTGTTTTTTTTTCATTATAACTTAAGTCTATAAAAATAGTACACAACAAAGGTTCAGACCATACAAGACATCTAACAACATGTATTCACCACCAAAAATAAGTGACTGGATTGGGGAAAACAAAAGCACAGTGTACTCTATATATATAACAATATGCAATCTGCATTTGCATCAAGTACATCATCCTTTTGGTCAGTGATCCACATTTGTTGCTTTCTAGCATATCATAACTTCCACTGTGGATTTTGTCCTCACCTCTGTCTTTAGTGAAAGCAAATCTTCATTGCATTTAGATGGACTTTTGGTCTCAGAAGATTACTCTGTGACTGAATTAGCTTTTTAGTTGTGGTTTTTGTCATATTTAATTCTTTGTTTAGGGCTAAATGAAAAGATCCCAGAGGTCATCAGAAAACAGCAGGTAGTTCATGGAAAAGGTTCCTTTGTATTAATTGAAGTTACAGAAGGCTGACCAAAGCGTGTGGCTGCTTCTGTCCTTGAGCTCTTGGCCATGGTTAGAGTTGGCTTTGGTTTGCAGCTGTAGCCTTTGACTGTGTTTGCAGGTAGACAAAGCTTTATCACAAGGAGGTAAAGAGTACAGTTGTAAGATCTATGCAGATATGCAAATGTTTCTATGGTGCTTGCACAGATAATGTTAGCTTAGGATTGCACTTTACATCTTAACACTAACAGCACAGACTGGAAGCCTAAGGTTTTAGATGGTTGCAACAGTCTAATTACTGCGTTTTTGTAATTACTAACTTATGTCATTTACAGTTGGTGGCACCAACATAAAAACTAATGTTCTGTTGTTCAAAATTCAGCTAGATACAAGCAGTGACACTAATTTCTGATACTACTCCTGTGCAAATTAAAAACAATAGCAACAAGTTGAACTTGACCAGCAATTGTTTCTAACATTACAACTACTGAATGCTGGAAAATTCACATTAATGAAACTAACACTATTTTTGGCAGTATATGAGGCGTGTTTGCTTTTTACAAGACATGTATCCTCATATTCAGTCATTTCATGAACCCTTAAGAGCCACATTTTTAAATGGGCGAAGCCATTATAGAAAGAACAGTTCCTTTTTTTTTCTAAGAAAAATCAGTTTTTGTCTTTTTCTTTTTCTAAAAAAACAGAGAGAGAAAGAGAGAAAGAAAAGAAAACAAGCGATTTGCCTGTTGGTACTGAATCCCAAAGGGCTGGCTTAGTAAGTTCCTTTAGGGCAGTCTCCTTTATCCATGCTTAATAAATAGTCACAGTAAAAATTTGTCAAATATTCATGGTTGTAGAGTGGTTATGAAGGTCAGTGATATGTCCCTTCACACTGAGGTTTCACAAGTCAGTTCTCATTCCAGATCTTCAGATAAAGGCTCTTCTTCAATCTCTCTGTCATCTTCTAACTCTGGACTGTGATTCGCTGTTGTCACTAAGGACACTGGGCAGTCTTCATCCTCGGCCATCACTGGCTCTTCCTTGACATGGATTGAATGT